TATTGGTCATCGCCTCGAAGTCCTTCGGATCAGACAAGATAGTGATCGATGCAGCGACCCAGAACTTTACCTTTCCGTTCTTCTACTTCGTCGTTGTCTCGAAGTCCTTCAGCGCAGAGACCCGGAACTTCGCAAAGAAACTGTGATCAAGGCTCTAGAGGATCACGTCTCGCTGGCAAGGATCGCGCGCGTGGTTGATGAAGCGATTTCGCATCTCGAAGTCCGTTCAACGAAAAAGGCGGTAACTTTTTGCTTCGGCAGGCGAATCTCGAGATCCTGTTGCACGCTTCGTTCTTCATCTCTAAAATGTCCGAAGCACGTCTAGGACAAACCAGCCTCTTCAGGCATCTCAGTTCGAACCTTAGAGAAATACATCTGAAAACCATCCCATTCAAATCACTACAATCTGACTAAATGGTGATAATTTTCTTCGATGGTTACAATATATTCGAATGTATCTCCGAGGAAAAGGAAATATTGGCTATATCACAGGTGATACTAAGTGTGACGTGAATGACATAACTTTTGCCATTTGGGATGCGAAAAACTCAATGGTAATGACATGATTGGTCAATTCCATGACTGAAGAGATGTGCAAATTATCTGTGTTACTCTACAGTCAAGGAATTATGGGACAATGTTTCAAAAATTGTACTATGATCTTGGAAATCAATTCTAAGTTTACGAGTTGACTCTACGACTTGGGGAAATTTGCCAAGGTGAGGATTCCATGACAAAATATTTCAATTCTCTTAAGCGAATTTGGCAGGATCTGAACTTATTCAACGATCGTGAGTGAAAATCAAACGATGACTTCAATCAATACAAGAAGATAGTGGATACTGGCCGAATCTTTAAATTTCTTGCAGGGCTAAACGTTGAATATGATGAGGTCCGTGGCCGAATATTTGGAAGAAATCTCCTACCTCCAATTGGTGTAGTTTTTGCGGAGGTGAGGAGAGAAGGGAGTTGGAGACATGTGATGTTGGGGAAGAAGACTGTAGGTTCAACCGTGTACGTGGAAGGATCAACTTTGACTATTTCTTAAGCTCAAGTAAGTAGAAAAACTTCTCACAACTAGCATATAGATGATAAAAACAACCTACAATGTGACTACTGTGGAAAACCATGCCATACTCTCGAAAAATGCTGGAAGTTTCATGGTAAACCACCTAATGATAAGGGAAAAAAATCTGGTAAACATAGCACACCTACAACAAATGAGGCCGAGTCATCCCAAATTAGTAAAAAATAATTAAGTCATTTTCTTAAACTGCTGAAATCTTGCTCATCTTCTAATGCTCTTATCTGTTCCATAGCACAAACAGATAATAATCCTTTGGCTTTATCTGTTCTACGAAGTACCATTCATTGGATCATCAATTCAGGAGCATCTTATCATATGAAAAGCTGTTCTCAATTATTTGATTCATATTATCCATGTTCCGGTTTCAAAAAAATCAGAATAGCTGATGACAGTTTTTCACCTATTGCAGGAAAACGAAATATTAAAATCTCAGAAAAAGTCTCTTTGAAATTTGTCTAACATGTTCCAAAACTTACATGCAATCTTCTTTTCATTAGCAAATTGTTTAAAGATTCTGATTATGCCATTCTTTTTTTCCTTCCAATTGTGTTTTCAGGACCGAAACTCGAGTAAGATGATTGAAACTGCTAGAGAAATAAATGGGCTGTATTACTATGATGGAACTGATTCTACGAATAAAACAACTAATGGATTAGGTAGTTTAAGTTCAAACTTTGACTATGATCAAGTTATGTTATGACATAAAAGATTAGGGCATCATAACTTTCCATATCTCAAATTTTTATTTCCTAAACTATTTAAAATTATTTATTGTTCAAAACTTCATCATGAAGCGTATAATTTATCTAAATTCATCGTGTTTCGTTTCCAATAAAATCATATTCTGCTTCAAAACCATTTTATTTGGTGTATAGTAAAGTTTGGGGCCCATCCAAAGTTAACACACTTTCTGAGAGAAATGGTTTGTAACATTTATTGATAATCACGCACGAGTTTGCTGGGTGTATTTATTGGAAAAGAAATCTGAAGTTGAACAAATATTTAAATATTTTTTTCACATGATAGAAGATCAATTTCAAACAAAAATTGGCTTTCTAAAAACGGATAATGAGATTGAATTATTCAACAAATATTTGAGAGCATATGCATCAATCCACTTGTCGTGACACACCACAACAAAATGACATTGTTGAAAGGAAAAATAGACATTTATTTGAAGTTATCAAGACACTTATATTTTCCATGAATGTTTCTAAATATCTTTGGGTCAATGCACTTTTTACATCTTGTTATTTAATAAACAAAATGCCATTTCGAGTTCTGAAATTTAAAACACATTTTCAAGTCCTAAAAAATTATTTTTTTACATCTAAGATAACAACTGATCTCCCTTTAAAAGTTTTTGGATGTGTTTGCTATGTGCATGTCCCAAATGTGTTTCGCTCAAAACTTGATCCCAAAGCTGAAAAATGTGTTTTTATTGGGTATGCTTCCAATAAACGTGAGTACAAATGCTTTAATCCTGTTAAAAAGAAATTTTTTGAGAGCATGAATGTCAAGTTTGTCGAGGATCATCATTTTTTTCAAAACAATTTTCTTCAGGGGGAGAACTCAATTTCAAGAAAATAATGTTTGGGAAACTTTACCCATTCCTTTAACTAATTATGGTATGAAAACTAGGGTCAGCACCACTAATCAATTTTTGCATGATGTTACCTTATCAGAGACACCAACAGATCATAATCCTCAACATGAGCTGCAGGTTTGTACTAGGAAGAAATTCCATGAAGTTATTACAGCCCCAGTTATTTCCTCAGCAGATATTCAATCACCTTTGCCGAATAATGACCATCCTTCAACTCAGAGTAATCTTCCTTCTACTTCCACCCCTTATCTTGATCTTCCAATTGCTTTAAGAAAAGGAATCCGAATGAGCACGAAACATCCTATCACACAATACTTGTCATATGAAAAACTATCAAAAAATCATAGAGCATTTGTGTCTAGGATTTCTAATATGCCTGTTCCAAGAACTGTTTAGGAAGCAGTAGGTGAACCAACTTGGAAATTAGTTGTGATGGAAGAAATAAATGCTCTTAAAAGAACTAATACTTGGACAATCTACCTAATGACAAAAAGATGGTTGTGTGCAAATGAGTGTTCACAATGAAGTTTAAAGCTGATGGAAGTGTGGAGAGATACAAAGCGAGACTAGTAGCAAAAGTATTAACTTAAACTCATGGTATTGATTACCAAGAGACTTTTGCTTCTGTTGCTAAAATTAACTCTATTAGAGTACTTCTTTCTCTTGCAGTTAACTTCAACCGGCCACTTCATCAATTTGATGAAAAAAATGCATTTTTAAATGAAGAATTGCGAGAAGAAGTATATATGGACCTACCACTCGAATTTGAAGAAAAATTTTGAAAAGGTAAAGTATGCAAATTTAAAGTCCCTGTACGGGTTAAAACATTCCTAGAGCTTGGTTTAAGCGTTTGGTGATGTTATCAAGAGACATGGACTCTCTCAAAGTCAAGGTGGTCACACTCTTTTTTTCAAACATTCCATTAAAAGTAAAGTAGCTATTGTGATTGTGTATGTAGATGACATAATCATGACAGGGGATGATCCTCTGAAGATTAACAATTTGAAGTGGAAACTTAAAGCCGAATTTGATATTAAGGACTTGGGAAAGCTGAAATATTTCTTCGGAATGGAGTTTGCAAGATCCAAGGAGGGAATTTTTGTCAATCAACCCAAGTATGTACTCGATTTACTCAAAGAAACATGAATGACAGGTTGGAAGGCAGCAGATACGCCAATTGAACCTAATATAAAGTTGAACACAACAACTAATTAATGAGGTAATGGACAAAACACACTATCAAGGATGGGTAGGGTGACTAATCTATTTGGCTCACACTCGACTTGACGTAGCCTTTGCAGTGAGTGTTGTGAGTCAATTCATGCATTCACCTGTACTTACTCACTTCGAAGCTGTATTCAGAATTTTGAGATATCTCAAAAGAACTCCTAGAAAAGGATTTTTGTTCAAAAAGGGAAAACATCTTCTAATAAAGGCCTACACATATGCGGATTGAGCAGGAGATGTAAATGATAAAAGATCCACATCAGGTTATTGTACCTTTGTAGGCGGAGAACCAGTTACTTGAAAAAGTAAAAAACAAAGTGTGGTAGCAAGAAGTAGTGCTGAAGCAGAATTTTGCTCGGTGGCACATTGATTCTGTGAAGTATTATGGATAAACTCCTGATAAAAAGTCTCCTGGAAGAGTTGAAGATTCCTATACCAGCACCTATTAAAGTTTACTGCGACAGCAAGACTGCAATCTCTATAACTCATAATCCAGTTCTACATGACAGAACAAAACATGTAGATGTTGTTAAACATTTTGTCAAGGAGAAGATAGATAAGGGTGTGATATGTATATTCAACATACCCACTGCTAGCCAAACATCAGATATTCTAATAAAAGGTCTTTCTAAAGTGCAACACGAGAATCTAATAAGCAGGCTTGCTATGAGTGATATCTTCATGCCAACTTGAGGGGGAGTGTTGAATGATCTCGTAAATAATTATGATTATATTTTATATTTGTTATAACTCTATATTTAGAGGGTTATAAATTTTATGAGGGATCTTAGGAATCTCTATTTATTTCTCTTTTTAATTAGAGAGATTAGCTTTCTCTTATATTTGTTATTATTCTTTTTCTTGTATTTCCATTGTCTATTGTATTATGTTTTTATTGTTTTCCTTACCAGTAAGTTCTGTAATGAGTATTTATACCCCTATTTGCATCAATAAGAATAAACCCTTTTATATTTTTTCACTTTTTTCAATATTTCTTTTCCTACTATTTTGCTAGCTTATGATCGAAATAATGTCGTTTTGCCTGGAACATAATATACATTGCATTTGTTTACTGGCCAGGATGAGCAGCCGGACATGCAAGGACTATCTGCTGTACTCTCTATTGAAAGATGTGCAACTAGTAGCCCTACTGGTAAATTTCTTGCATAAGACTTGTATTTTATCTAGGCTAGCCAACCGGCTCATAATTACTTGTATGCGTTGTCATGGTTGAGATGCTCTACCTTGTTTTACTGATTGAAAAGATGAATTAAAGTGGTTTTGCTATTCTATTTTTTGTGTGCCGGTTGTATGGAGAATTGAAAATTGTTAGTTATGTTGTGAAACTATTGGGTTGCTGCAAAAACATAAAATAAAATAATGAAACTTGTAACAGGTTAAGAACGAATGGTTTTGGTTCATAAGTCTTAGGAATTGTTAAAATGCTTGTTCAAACTTCTTTTAAATTTTGATTTATTTGGAGTGCTCTATAAAATTTTTTTCATTATGCATTTGGCTAGATTTTTGCTTTAGAGTGGAGCTAACAGTGCATTGATTTGGATTTATACTTAATGACAATGTTCATTGATAAACATTGAAGTCATAGTTGTATTCATGTCAATATAAGCATTTGCGGTCAAAGGAAAAGATTAATTATGTCCAGAGAAACAAAATAATTGTGGAAAAAAATATAAAGTTATGATAAAACGTTGGTTTAATTGCTTCTCCCTAAAGTTATGTTCTTTCTTCTACGTCACCATGATAATTTGTTTATGTACTTTTCCTAATGCCTTGCCCTTTTAGAGATACCCTCTAGGATAAACTTCCTCACCATTTTTCTGTTGTTTAAAGATGTTTTACCTAAGTTGTATTTGAGGTTTCTGTAAATATTTCCTCGTTTTATGAATATGCATTGTTGACTGTTCTCCAAAGTTGAGCCGTGTCCTTTGGGACTAATGTCATTTCTGTTATCATTTTGTTCTAATTTAAGCAACATTATATTTTTTTACTCTAAAGTTTTCCTTTTATTATAAGGTTGCTTGCTTTATGCTAATGTAAAAAAATTCTAGATGAGCCCATTGATAGCTTTTACAACATTCTTGATGTATATGAATAGGCGTTCCTTACTTCGACAGTTTTTTTTTGGCTTGGACTACTTTTATATATTTGCATTCTCACAATGCTTTATTCTTCTCAAAAAAATTTTTTTTTTGCAGAGTATGCTGATGTTTCTGCTTATCGATTATCTCTTACGGAGGATACAAAAGCAATCAATCAATTGGTAATTACTTTTTGTGATATTTTTATTGTCTCCCTGTTGATTTGTTGCTAGCCGCCTTTCTGTTTTGTTATATAATTTTGATAACTTCTTTTTTTATTGCGTACCTACCTTTTGTTTTTATTCTTACGGTCTTGAAGAATAATGATTCTGGAACTAGTTAGCATTTATGGGAAACACAAAAGCAAATTTTTATTAATAGAGAAATAGGGTTACAAAATGACACGAATAAAAAGGGAAAAACAACAACAGACCAGTTTCCGAGTAGTGCTTGGAGGCTAGGACCCGGAAGAGGTTTGGTGGCTGTGAGGTTGAACTTGTTTGTTGGATCAAAGGTTTCAATTTATATTTTCATGGGGAGGCACAAATCGAAAAGCTACATGCAATAACCTTTTTGATGACTTGGGTATGTTTAATTTGGTTAGTATCTGAATGTGGGACTGATATTTGTTGGAGGTGAATCGTTTAGTTTTTTAATTGCTTTAATATTATATATTTTGTTTTTTACTTGCTCTATATCATTTTGAATAACTTCACCCAAACCTCCACATACCGCCACATGCTAGCTTTATGTTCTTCCAGGATCCTACCCACCGTTACCACCACATGATTAAGGTAAAAGCTCTGTATGCTGATGCTCGTGGTTAAACTGGATGGTGAAGTATTAGGAATATCTTTCAGTCAAGTAGCAGCGAGGATTGAAACTGATTCGCTCATTAGAGATTGGCTGATGCACGGATTGTGCTTTATCTAAGCAAGCTCGACTCATGGTTGCTACTTATAATGGACGACCTCCCAAGGAAAAAGCTGTTATCCCCAAAGAGTTTTTTGAGCATGCAATTTCCTGAATGTTGTCTCTGCACCCTGAAAATCTCCTCCATCTGTGGTTTGCGAAGCTGAGCATTTAATATGACCGCGTACAAATCTTTACAAGGAATTTCCCTTTTGAAATTTGTGGAATGATGGATGATGTCTGCAATATACTCAGCAATGATTTCATCCATTGCCTAGGCCTTGAATGCACTTGCTTGTTGGTTTCGCCTTCCTAAAAAGAAAGACGAACTCACCTTGCATCACTTACTTCCTCATAAGTTGATATTATATCTTTTAGGAGGATTTACATATATGCCACTTAATACCTATGTATTTACATATAACACCTAAACTTCAATTTTTACAGATATGCCATCTTGTCTATGTATGAAAATGAGTATTTCACTTTTTTTAAAGTTCAAATAGTGGTATTTTTGACGTGATATGAAGGATTTGGCTCGTATTGATGTAAAAAGTAAAGTATATATGTTAGATATGTAAATACATAAGAATTGGTTGGTATGTATTTAAATGCCCCTATCTTTTAATTTTTCTATCTTATTAATTTCCCTCTTTTGCTTAGTTTCAGTTCTTAATGTCGAGTTTTATTAATGATCTTGAAAGCCAATCAATGCTCACTCCACTTGTTAAATATGCAGAATACTTTGATCAAGGATGGAAAGGAAATGTTATCTGTGCTGTATACATATCGCAGCTGCGTCAAGGCTCTTCCACAGGTTGTGTTTCCTGAGCTTACCATTCAATTTTATATTCATTTACCTTTCTGAGGCCGTAAAATTTTCTAGTTTGTCTAGCTTTCAATTTTGAGCGGATAGAAAGTTTTTTCCTTTGAGATTTATTTTATAAGTGAAAGTTTTATTTCTTAAAAATAAATTCTCTTTACATGTATAAGCTGTGTAGGCTCTTGTGGAAAATGCTTTGTAATAATTGATCACTTTGAAAATTAGATAGATGTTTGATGTGGAAAGATACAATTATGTTTTCTCAGAAAAAAATGATTAAATGTGTAGGATAGCTGAATTGAGTTAGAACATACGGATTTATGTTATTAAATATGGAATATGGTGGTGGAAATCTACACGATTATTCTTTTTGGGAGCATCACCTCAAACCTTAATTTTTTGAGTAATTTATTTATTTTCTTTTCACCAGTTGGCTTCTTTTATTAATTTATTTAATTTATTATTTGTATGGAGGGGGATGCCATTTTGTTAATGGTCTATAAGGGTTGTAATGGCTGAGAAAGTATACTCTATTTCCGGGTTAGTTTACTTTGTTGGCATTATTGCATTCCTAATTTTGTTTAGGTTAGGGACCACAATGGAAGGCTATGTGCAAATGTAGTATATTTTCATGACGGTTAGAATCATGAGGGTGATGTGGGGGCTAAGGCCAACGGGCTAGTAGAAAGACCAAAAGAACAAGTTTGCTGGATTGAGCGTCATTTAGAAGGGTCTGGCATTGTCGCCAACCCCATCCTGCTTTACTTTTCTGTTTCCCATCTGACTCCTTTCCTTTTCTGTTTCCCGCATGATGTGAATCTATTTATATGCTTGTTTGCTGGATTTAGGGTTATGTTTTGGCATGTTTCTGTTTCAGATTTCAGCATGAAGTCTTTTTCCGCTCGTTTGTGCTGTATCCGACGATTGGTGGTGCTCAGACTGTATCCTGCTTCGATTTGGTGTTGTATCCTCTCTAAATCTCTCCATCCCCTGTCCTCTTATCTTTTTTACACGCCAACCTGCTCCTTCAGTCCACTGTTTACCCTTGCCGCCCCTTTCCCTGCCCCACGCATGCCGCCCGACCTGCACACTGCCGCCCGACCTACACCCTGCCGCCCTCCATACAGCCTTCCTGAAGTGCTTCCAAGATTTCTACCACTTTTCCCCACTATCGTGACCCTTCCTTGCAGCCCCCAGCTGTTCCTCCATCTCCTTTTCCTTCCCTACGAGTGCCGTCAGTCCTTTCCCCTACCCTACTACTTCCTACAACCCCATCGACGCCACAACTGCCGTCGGATCTTCTCTTCCTACCTTAGCCGGGGATGTGTGTTTGTTGCTTTTTGATTTCAGTTTTCAGTCGTGTTTGTAACCCTAATCGTTTGCTTAATAAAAGTTGCTTCCATTATTGCTGGCTTGATTTGTTCTGGTATTAGGGGGATTTTGGCTATTTTTGATGTTTGGTTTGGCGGTGTTGAAATTATGCCATATATGTTATTGTGGTGATACGATGGATCTGTGACCCTTCTATTTGTGATTTTTGCGTGTATTCAAAGTACCAGTGCTTGGGCTTGCCAATAAGGGCATGTGTTTTGCAAAATTTATATTTTTTCCTGCTAGGCAACATCTTTTTCCATGCACAAGTATCATTTTGGCACGATTCCTCGCAAGACTATCGTGTTTGTGGAAGTGTGGGACTTACTGCATGGCAATTTAGGTGTTTTGAAAATTTTAAATTTAAATTAAAGCAATTTTTAACATTTTTGGGAGTTGTACAGTTAAATTTGGATGAATCCAAATTTAATCCAAATTTAAATTTGGATTGATTTTGTGTTAATTTTATCTGCAGCTCTTGGTTATGCTTCTATAAATAGTGATATGAGGCATTGATTTGAGAACTTTTGACTTAAAATGACTTTTTATTTCTTGCTTTCAATTTTGTGAGTTCAAGATGGATGTGCAATTTTTTATGCGCGGTACAAGTGTGACTATCCAAATTTTGTTATGACCACCTAATCCAAGAGCTTGGAAAACTAGGGCGAGAATAAAATGGGTTGGATGATATGTTCATTCTCTTTATTAACAAATAAAAAAATTAAATTATTTTTCAAACTTAAGTGAGCCGCTGTTATTTGTTTTTGTTGAATCTTATATATAAATTATCTTTAATAAAAAGAATTTAGTCATAAAATTAAAACATGTTAAAAATATTCTATAGTAGCTGTTCTCAATTGTTTTTCACATTCTATATACAAAATCTCTTTTTTCGTTCATTTAGTTTGAATGAACTTTTTTTGAAAGGGACTATTGAGTAGTGGGTTGAGTCATACAACATTTTAATTGTCGCGACCCAGTTTAGCGGATTGAAATTATCAAAGCAGGAATATGTGGTCGGACGGTGAATTTAATTTCAATTTTTATCACTAATTGTTAAAAAATTATTCAATTAATTGAAAGTCCCCCTAAGAAAAATCAACTTAAAAGAAAGAGTATATGAATGTATTTATCTTTTTTTATTTTGATCATTCTATAAATGTTTTTTTCTTATATTATTCATTTTTCATCATTAATTTTTATCCTGAAAAATGTTACTTTAAATTCATGCGAGCTATCGACAACTTAGCAACTAATAAATCTAAAATTAAAGTAAGATAACAAAAAAAGCAACATGCATTGAAGTGTGCTTCATTCCTTTCATGCACGTCCTAAATGGACTTGTGTGAAACCTTCTGTGTTCATCTCTGACGGAATCGTGCGGACATAACCCATATGTTTCGACTTTTTTTCACGGCCCAACTCGAGAGTTTGGAATTACTAATGTGTGAATAGATAGTTGGACAGAAGTCATACCAGTCTAACATTTACAACAATTCAAAATATCATCCAAACAGTTAAAAAGGACATCCCTCCCACTCCCACTCCCACTCCGAGGCGAACGCGGAAAGCGTGATCTGGCTCAAGAGTGATCTATCTATTCAAGCTACTCTAGCCCCCTTGAACTTGCCTGCACCCCTTAGGAGTTTATATTTATTTTAGTTAGATTATTATTTGGGTTAATTTTATTTTGGGATTTATAAATATGTTGTTAATTTTTGGTTTTCAGACTTTTGGTGTTTTTATGCATTTTTGAGATCATTTCGCTAGGATTTAATCCAAGGGCGTTTTATTCTTCACCTCGTGCAACTGGTGTTCTTGTATCTTGTTCGAAACTAGGTGACGAATCTTCCTTGGCGTCCGTGCCACCAATTGCGACATTTCACCATGACTCCTATTTGTCTTTCTCTAGGACATCAACCGCAATGGCCTTTTCTATTTTCAATCTTTACGAATCTCACACACATTTTCTAAGTCTCCAATATCTCACCTCTAGATTTGATCCTCTTTAAACCTAGGAATCTGAGAATGGTGCCCTATGAAGCACAAACACGAACATAACACGATATATTACGTGGCACGACATAATTACAAAAAAGTAAGATACAATACGTCATAGACACGTTTCTAATATTTAATAAATTTTTTATATAAATATATATTTTTAATATTTTTAACTAAAGACATCACAAAATAAAATATGCAATCTTTAAGAGAACTTTATGATGATAAAAGTTATTTTTGACAAAATTAAAATTACATTCAAAATATCAAAAAAATCACCAAATCACTTAACGCCAAATTGTCAATTTCATTAATAATAATAATAATAAATAAAATATAACAACATAATCATCACTAATTTGAGTTAATGCATTCACAAGTGGTGTCATCATTAATAGCTCCATTGCTCTCATCAATTACGCCTTGACCTACACAACAAAAAACACCATTTCCATGTATGGCTCATCAAGGAAAGATTAGCAACTTCAAGTTTTCCAATATCATCCATTCTAGCTAATGCTTATCCACCAACATCCCATAATTTTGTGTTCCCTTGAGGTATTCTGGGCTCATTCTAGATAGAAGACGTAGATTAGTATGAGCAAATATGAAATCTCCGCGTCGTTGAGAAGTGATTTTGTTCCACTTAAGTGAATTAATAAAAGATCATGTACTTAATTTCTTTTCACAATAAGATAATGATCATGACTAGCCAACATTCTGAAAGCTAAACTCTACAATCTTGAAGAACTTGCTCTATAAATCATCGACTATGTTTTTCCATCCATAATAGCTATAAAAGTCATAAACATCCAAAACACCACTAATTCAAGAAATTAGCAAACTCCAAATTAACATTTGATATTTATTCAATATTTGAAAAAAAAAAATCTCTTTAGGCATTTATTTTTCTTAATTGATATCTCCATTCTTTATGTGGAACAACATGATTTAGAGTTTCACTTAGCTAAATGTGGCTGTAATATCTAAGAAAAAAATGCACTTATAATTGACAAAACTAATCTACGTTAAGATTAACATAGATTAAACATTAAATCAATTCATACATTGGGTTGATAAATTGAGCTAAATAATGAAGATGAGTGTTTCTCTTATTCTATCTTTCAATGCAACCTTATATAAAGTGGAGTTTTCATTATTTTTCTTTCCATCGTATCGATATATAATATATTTCACCTTTTCTATTTTTAAATTCCGTATCATAGATAGAGTGGAGAGAAGGTTTATCTATATTATCAAATCTTAATATGTCATATATAGATTCTATAAATACAATAATATGATTTATTTTGTCCAACCACACATCATTCGAGATTTTTTTTCATCATAAGTTTTGCCTTATTATAGCATCTTCACAATATACACTCGACTTGCCTTTGATTGCATCTCATAAGCTTGAGCATACTTGATGCAAAATGAATATGTTTTGGCACACATCTACAATTCAGGTGGTGGGCGATCTCTCATAATTCCTACAATTAGAGAGGTAGGAAATCTCTCCCAATCCTAAACCTTACAGTCATAGCTCAATCTCATGCATAAACCTAACCCTAAACATAATGAGCCTATTTATATTTCACTATAATACTAATAAAAGG